AATCTAGAATTCTTGAAAATAGTTACTAATCAAATGTGTGAGCATTTTACACAGGCAAGGACGCTGTTTGAAGAGTTTCAGTTCAGGCTTCAGAATCATCATAGCACTGAAACAGCTCTGGCTGAAAGTCACAGAATTATATTCTCTAGCCTCAGATAATGGACCTGTGTCTGTACTGGTCTGTTAGATCTCAGTGCTGCAAATTGTGAATACAGTTCGACCATAAAATATTCTCTTAAAAAGGCTGGAATATGCTGTAGGAGATCAGGGGACACAGCGCTAGGCTGGTTTAAAATCTTATTTGTCTGACAGATTCCAGTTTGTTCATGTAAATGAATAAATCATCTTACAAGAACTCCGGGTTAATTGATGGAGTAACCACAGGGTTCAGTACTTGGGCCATTCTCTTTAAATAATATACAGTATAGTGCTTCCAATAGGTCAAATTATCAGACAGCATAGAATAATTTTTCCTGTTCGCTGATGATACTCAGCTTTACTTATCCTATAAATCCTGATGAGGCCCAACCATTTAGATAGACTACAAGCATGTCTTGAGAGAACAAAAAAACTTGGATGACTTAATTTTTTGCTTCTAAATTCAGACAAGACAGAAGTTGTCCGGCCTCTTTGGAACGCGGAGTCCTTTGAAAAGAAACTGCTAAGTCAATCACTTAACCTGGATGGTAATTAATTGACCTCCGGTAATAAAGTTAAAAACCTTGGTGTTTATTTTGACCAGGACCTGTCATTTAAATCCCATATTAAACAGGTTTCTTGGATTTCCTTCTTTCATCTCCGGACATTGCCAAAATTAGAAATATCCTATCCAGGAGTGACGCTGAAAAAACTAGTCCATGCATTTGTTACTTCAAGGCTGGATCATTGTAATTCTTTTACTATCAGGATGTCCACAAAAATGCAGTTAAAAGCCTTCAGCTGATTCAAATGCTGCAGCAAGAGTTCTGATGAAAAATTAAAAAGATAGATCATATTTCCTCTTACTTTAAGCTTCCCTTCATTGTCTCCTGTTAAATCCAAATAGAATTTAAAATTCTTCCCCTCACATATAAAGCCCTTAATGATCTAGCTCCAATCACACATCAGAGATCTGATTGGTTCCATATGTTCCTAACAGAGCACTACGGTTCTCAGACTGCAGTTTACTGGTGGTTTCCTAGAGTCTCTAGAAGTAGAATGGGAGGTTATCAGGCTCCTCTCCTGTGGAACAGCTCCCAGTTTTAGGTCTGTGAGGCAAGGCACCCTGTCTACTTTTAAGGCTAGGCTTTAAAACTTTCCTTTTTGATAAAGCTTATAGTTAGAGCGTGGCTTAGGTTTATCCTGAGCTATCTTCCTTATTTTTTTAACCTCCCTCTTCTTCCTCCTTCTTGGATGGAGTAAGGTGGAGTCAGGATTAGCCCAACCGGCTCAGTATGGTTGAGGTGCAAACACACCCTCCATTTCTGCTACCGTGTATGACCCCCTCTCTTTTCCAATGGTTATGGTCAATCTGACAGAGAGAGGTATCCAATCGCTTGTGGTTTTAGTATATGACAATGGCCATCAGTGGGCTCTAGAATTGCACAAACTGTCTACTTTTAAGCCTCGGCTTAAAAATTTCCTTTTTGATAAAGCTTATAGTTAGAGTGCTTAGGTTAATCCTGAGCTATCTCGCTAGTTTTGCTGCTATGGGCTTAGGCTGCTGGAGGACATAATGACCACTTTCACCCTCTTCGCTACATTTTCTCACACTACTCTCCAATTTTGCATTATTTGCTGTTATTTCAGCTTTTAAACTTGTTCTCTCTCTTTTCTCTTCCTAGAAGCTACACCTGGCCTGACTCTCTACCTGTGACACCTTTCTGGAGAGGGGCATCGTCCATGCCTCTGCTGGCAACAACTTAATGCTCACCCTCTACCGATGATCCACATGGCCCTGTCTTTTAGTGTTTAACCCTTTCTCTCTCCTAGACATGGCAATTGACTGAGCTTTTGCTATGACTAACTATGTGCTCTCTTTCAGACTCCAACCTTAAAAACTGGCTCAGAGTTTATCAGTTCTTTCTAGGTGAAACGACTAAAGGAGCTACATCCACTAACATTTACTTTTCCTTCCCGTAGAAAGTACTCCTGGATCAGTGCATTCTGTGTTCTTTTTGTGTCTCTGCTCTGTTCTCGCAATCCAAAACCCCTCGGTCGTGGCGAGATGGCCGCGTCACACTGAGCCTTGTCTGCTGGAGGTTTTCCTCCTGTTAAAAGGGATTTTTCCTCTCCACTGTCGCTACATGCATGCTCAGTATGAGGGATTGCTGCAAGGTCAATGCCAGTGACTGTCCACTGTCTCGACAGGCTCATGGCTGTAGGAGGGGAATGCTGCAAGTCACTGACTGGATGCAATCTGCTGCGTTTCCTTTCCTTAGACAAAATTTTTATCCAAGTTGAATAAATAACTGAATCTGACTGCACTGTTCAATGATTAAGATTAATTGGAATGTACCTGACTTTTGTGAAGTGCCTTGAGACAACATGTGTTGTGAATTGGCGCTATATAAATAAAACTGAATTATTAATGGGGACACGAAAATGTGAGCACAGTACTGCATTCTCCTTATTGGCTGCCTGTTTCTTCTAAGATTTTTAAAATTTTACTTTTGCTTTTTAAGTGTTTAAATGGTCTGGCACCTCCTCATTCTGAGCTCCTTTATGGTAATCATCCTGGTTTAGCTCTGAAGATCAAATGCTCTTGGTGGTCCCAAGGACTCGACTTGTGACTAGGTGCAGCTCCTAAACTCTGGACAGTTTTCCACTTTCTGTGAAGTCTTCCAGAACTCCTTTAAAAAAAAAAAAAAAAAAAAAAAAAAAAAAAAAAACCTTTTACACTGGTCTTTTGTCATATTGGATTTAACAAGTTTGACCCACATGCAGGAAGCAATTCAGGAGACGAGTTTTATAGTTAGAAGTTTTATTTATAAGACAAGACAAGAACTGGGAACGGGAACTGGAGTATGAACTGTAAGAAGAATAAAGCAAAAAGTAGGGATAAACTTTAAATAGAGAATGATAATGATTCAGTCTTACTGGGGAGAAAGGGATGATCTGCCAGAGGGGGAGGTGGAGAAAACCCAGAGGATTGTTTACCCGTGGAAACTGAGATGGTGAGTTCAGGTCTGCCGGGAAGTTAGGATGTCCAGAGTTTACTGTGGTAGAAGCTTGTGTGCGTGGAGGGTGGACAAGGTTCGTTGAGGAGGATCCCAGGTATAGAGGAAGCTGCCAGCCGGTGAAAATCCACAGGAGCAAACGGAGGTTTGAGTCTTTGTTCATGAGGTGAAATGACTTCATCCCAGAAGACAATAATCCAAGTGGTTCAAAGCTGACAGCGAGGTCAGGTTCAGGTACACCTGTAAGGCAGAGCATGCAGGATTAGCAAGGCAAACCGAAGACTAGGCAAGAGTAATGTGGCTGGATGTTGTACCACTAAGGGGGCAACACTCTGGCAATGATTTGAGCTGCAGGGGGGCTCCTCCTTAAATCCTCCTCTGGAGATGATCAGGGTGATGGAAAACACCTGTCGGACACCTCCACGTTCAGACGCCATCTAGAGGCTAAACACAGTAAGCAGCACCCAAAAAACAACCATGGCAGAGATCCTGACATCTTTTGCCTTTTATCGTTTATTTCATTGTTTTTTATTGTGTTTATTATTATGATTTTATCTAGTATTTTTTATTCTGCTGTCATTGTCCAATTTTAAAATGATGCTTGATGATCTGAAACATTTAAGTGAGATAAAAACTAAAAAACTGAATGAGAATAAGTCTGTAAGAAGTCAGAAACTTTTTTACAGTACTGTACTTTTCTTTTAGAACAAACAAGGAGCTTTAAGCAACTGTACAGAAACCCAGCACACATTAAGTTACTCAGCGACTGAAAGAATGACGTGATTTGCCGACTATTACTGTCTGGCAGAGTGACTTATTTTCAAAGCAATGGGGTTTTATTGGAGCGTGGAGTCTGCCAGGGATGAGGAGGCAGATTTAGAAGTCGATCAGTGGATAAAATGTGAATTCTGCTCTGCTGAGACTGCAAGCTGAGGAAGATTAAGCAAACACGAATATCTTCGATTTCTCTTAAAATGATTTGGGTGTCTCTTCATTTGTGTGTTTGGGGCTTTTGTATTTTTCAGTAAGGAGACACAGTGCAGCCTTCTAAAAGTATTAACACCTCTTAAACTTTTTCATATTTTGCCACGTTACAAACATATTTTGACAGATCCTCCCACTTTTAAAATGCCTTCTTTAGTGACTTTATATGTACATAGATGGATTCATTTTTTGTTTCAATGTTTCTAGTTTTATTGGCTTTGTTCTTGACCTCATGTAATATCTTGATCTTGTCTTTGCGCTGTATACGTGACTGTTCCAAGCTTCTGTCGGTCTTTGCCACAACACTGTTTCCTGGTTAGCCACAAAGAGTGGGGTGACTCTTATCTGCTTCTCTTGTCTCTTTGGTTGAGCGTATCATACAAAAACATTCAGGAAGCACTAAAGAGACTCTAAAGCAGTTAGTTTGACAGATCATAATTGCGCATGCAGGACAGATGACTAGGTGCTTAAGTCCAGTTCTTCAGAGCTACTATCCTGCAACTTTCAGATCCAACCCCTCTCCAACACAGTGGGATCAAATGAATGATTGGTTTCCAGGCCTTTGCAGGGCTGAATGACCTGCTGGAGAGGAACTTCATACATGTCTGAGCAGGGATGCATCCATTGCATCCCACTGCAGGATTATTTTAACAGAACAAAGATGATCGTAGGCTGATTTAGGAACAGAGGGTAAAATGTAGGTCTAAAACAACACCGAGGTTTCTTATATGGTCTGTGGTCTTTAGGCCCATCGAGTCTTGTTGAGCACTGAGCTCTACCCTTGAATATTTGGGCCCAAAATGGTAAATAGACTGAACTGGTATAGCGCCTTTCCAGTCATACCAACCAGCATCAATGTGGCAAAAAATGTTGGAATCAAACCCACAACTTTTGGATTTCAAGACAACTACTCTTCCCACTGAGCCACAGTCGCCTCTGACAATTCTGTCTTTTCCGCATTTTGTAAATAGGCATGGTCTGGGGGTTTGTGAAGAAATGATCCTGTTTAGAGTGTTTTCCAATACTGAGACAAAAATTAGACCAAAACTGTAAACAGGTCCAACTTTATTTATTTCCTTTTATTTACAACTTGAAAAGCCCTATAAGCAAACCTTGTACAAATAATGGAAACTATTGGTATATCTCGAGTAGGAGTGACACAGCAGCACAGTGGTTAGCACTGTTGCTTGGGCCTTTCTGTGCGGATTTTGCATATTCTCCTTGTGCATGTGTAGGTTTTCTCTGGGTACCCTGGTTTCTCGCCATATTTCAAAAACATGGATGTTAGGTAAATTAGTTATTCTAAATTTCCTTAGATTCAAGTGTGTGCATGGATGTCTTATATTAGCATAGTTACAGGTTGGCAAATTGTCCAGGGTGTACCCTGACTGTTAATCATCCATAAAGGTACCAATATGGCAGGCATTAGGCTCCTACCAGTCCAAATCTAAAAGCCAGGCATAATAAGCCTGCTACAGCTGAATCTTTCACCTGAATGTGACTGCATGTTACTGTAGGTATTCATTCTAATTAGCCATCCAGCACTAATAAAGTTACTAAACAAAAAAAAAAACAACAACAACAAACAAAAAAAGCCTCCAACTGCAAAACTTTTAAATGACCCAAAAAGCGACTGTACTTAATGATGTCTGCTAATTGTTGTAGACTGGTAAGAACTATTTGCATATGGACTGTGGACTTTTAGGCCTATGGACCTTTATAACATGACAGTTGTTTATATTGTTTAAGATGTCTTTAAAATACTTCTTCGGGTTTTGAAGAGCAAAAGCCCATTCTCCCTTGCTGTAACTACTGTAACTAGGTCAGCCATTGCAGCAGCTGTGACTGTTTTGATCAAAGCCAGAGACAGGCGCCTTAATGAAACTATCTCATTACTTTGTTTAGACCGCCATCTAGAAGCAAAGTGGAAATATGATGAGTCATATGTAGTGATCCATAACTTCTCCAGTACTCATTACTACCTTTGACATCTCATCCTCCATTTCTTCTGCTTCACTTTTCCGTTCAAATTCTGACGCTCTCCATTTTCCTTCAGTCTCATTTCTTTGTCTTCTGTCCTCTACCTCCACTGCCTGCCTCACATTTAATTACTTCACCTTTATCCGTCATCCCCTCCTCTGTTCCTCCCCCCCATCTACCTCTATTTACCTCTTTTTATCTTTCATTTCCCCCACAGTTAGCCACTAATATCCCTGCCGCCTTTTATTTCCCCCTGTCACCATTTACATTCTCCCTTGCTTTCATATTCTCCCTAGATGCACAGCTTCAAAGCAGAGCCTATGTCAGGGTTGGCTTCTCTTCTCTGTTTTAAGCAGTCCAGTGGTGGGCCCCTTTTCTGGTTCACGGTCATCTCTCTCTAGTAGTAGTTACATTTACAATTCATCACTCTCTTCTATTGTCTGATTCCCATAATCAGAGTACCATAGATATGAACAGCAACATTTTAAAACCCAAGGAGAAAATTTTAAGCACTTAAAAAATGTTCCAAGTCTAATGCTTGTCCTGTCACGTTTACGCTATATTATTGTGATTTAGTCTTTACGGTTAGTTAGTAATGAGCCCACAAATAGGTGAGGTTTACCCCCTATTCCGTATACGGGTTTGTGTAACGTCTTCTTTACTGAACCTTCCTTTCCCAGATGAGGCTAAACATACAATATGAACGTCTCCCTCGCTGCGTGTTAGCGGGCTGCTGTGCCTATAGACTTAGCTAATCATTTGATGAAAACCTTTCTGGGTTTGTGATGCCAGCGCCAGAGCCTGCTCCTCTTCAAGTCGGGAGCTCTTCGCATATATTTCCGTAGTTATGGGGCATAGGCCTGTGTGCCGGCACTTCGGCTTGTCAGTTAAGAATCCTTTAGCAGAGGACTAGTCGTACTGCTGCCTAGAAAAATTGACCGCCAAAACTTGTTGGGCTTTTTTTTACCGTCCTAATGGGATTATAAATATTACATTGATATAAATATATGTTTTAAGCCCTTTTTCCTGCTTATACCCATTTTATTATCCACCAAGAAACATATTTCAACCACGACTATTCACATTGCGTCAAACAACAGGCAACGACCACTCTTTATTGCTGCTATTCGTCTCTTTAGGCCTCATCATTCTCAAAGGCTAGAGGTTTTAGACCCAAAGTGACGGAGTAGACACCCTGTCTAATCCAATACTTTGTGTAAAGGTGGAAGAAGCCTGAGAGATGCCGATACCCGAGGTAGAGCCATAGCTTGTGACCTAGTGATTTATAGCGTCATGACAGAATGATCCTCTGTGTAAGATGTGCATGGTACTACGGAGATATTTCACCAGGCAGGACCGATTGGATATTTCTGAGTGGTGGCTGAAACTGTATGTTGGAGGGGTTTAGTTAACTTTGCCCCAGCAGCTCAGTTAAGGACATAAGTGGCGACTATGGCTCAGTAGGAAGAGCAGTCGTCTAGAAATTGGAAATTTGCGGGTTCAGTTCTAGCTTCCATGATTTGATGTGCCCCTGTACAAAACATTAAACTCTACCTGCATTCTATCTTCATATGAATGCGTGAGCATTTGTGAGTGTGATTGGGTGGGTTTGGCTATAGTGTAAAGCACTTTGAGTGGTCAGTATAACTAGAAAAGTGCTACATCAGTTCAATCAAGGGCATTACTGAAAATGCCAAACATGACCTCATTGCATAGGGCCAGTTGGGTTGTAACAAATACATTAATTATTAGATCTGCTGCAGATCAGATGGAAATGGCAAACATGACATCTTTTTACAGGGATGATCAACCCATCCAGCCCTGAATGTGCTGCTGTGCTAACATCATTTAGAGGAGTAGAATTTATCTAGACATGGCTGATTTGACAGTTTCAAACTGAGCTAATTTGGTATCTCCTGACCCACAAAAATTACACTTCTGATGGGTGGTTGCCAATACTAGTCAGCTGCTAGCATAGGCCGTAAGGATATATTAGCAAGCCTAGCATATAGAGTAGCTGGTTGCCCACGTGTGCCAGGTGTAAGTCGTACGCGTGTACCGACAGATATACTCCTATTTTTACAGAATGGTAATACGGCTCTATGTGCGTGTGATTGACCATTCATAATATAGAAGTCATTACTATGGATCCAGACATCACATGTCAGGCAGAAGCCGACAGCCATTCGATCGTATCGTGTGCTACTCTCCCTGCTTCGTGGTATAGAGCTTAAACAATTCGCGTATGAGTTATCGTTAAGTACATCTTTTTATATGTGTCTGTGTGTCCATTTGCGTATAGATTGTGTGCCAACCAATCGGCATCGATGTAGCACAGCTTCGTTTTTGGGTGAGTGAGTGTATGTGCAGAAAAAGGTGCGTTTGTGTTGAGTGGGTGTGTGTGAGTGAGTTTGCCACCTGGAGGCACAGAGTTGTTAAAGCAGCGAGAATGGTAGAAGGCCTGTAACATGCAGCACCCAAGAGCAGTGAAGGACAAGTGGGCTCGGTTCCGGAAAGCGGCAGCAACCACAGGCAGACAGACACAAGGTATCACCACCCATGGCAACCATATGCCCCGCACAGAGGCAATTAGTGAAGCACAGGAGCAGAAGCCCACAGGCACGGGGTGAGATGTTGGGCATTGAGCCCCACCAACCCAGCCACACCACCATCTATCGCCGCACAGGCCAAGCCCGGGACCCAGTCCCTCTGTGGCCCATGGCCGGTACAAATCCCCAGCAGCAAGGCATAGTAATGTTTATGTGGCGCTCTGCCCATGTCTGCAAGGTCCATTGTCCGACACATTAAGACCCTACTGATGTGTGGTGATGCATATGTTAGGGAGGAAGTGATGGGTGCCAAGGCGCCGGCACATATCCCCTTGGGGGCCTGTTCTCCAACAAGCCCTCTCTTCTCTCACCCACACTCATACCAACACAGTGCCAACTGAGGCCAGGGACCCCCCTGAGATCCCCAAAGATGCCAGTGGTGAGTCACCAGAGAACCAGTATGGTTTCTAATATTACAGTTCTAATACAATGGTGCTTATAAATCCCTGTCATGACAAATGTTTTGTTGTGATGATTCAAACTGTTGAAGTAAGTCAGTCCCTACACTCTCACCAGCAGCTGGTTCAAAATGCTAAAGCATGTCTAGAAGCTGGTACTCAAAAAACAGAACACATCACTTCTGGCCTCACTCCACTGTGTTGGTTATGGCCTGTGATTTTTAGTTATTTAAAAATTCTTATTTTCATTTTTAAATGTTTCTGTGATCCTGCCCCGATGAACCTCTTTGAGCCTCTTCATCCCTACTTACCGTTTTGGTCCCTCAGGTCAGCTGAACAGCAGCTCCTGTAGGTGCAGAGGTCTTGGAGTAAGCTCAGAGGGGGCATTGTTGCTCCTTAACTGTGGAATAAGTCATCCCTGCACATTAGAGAGGTTCCTTCACTGCCTAGTTTCAAAACCCATCTTAAAACCCATTTTTATTCTTTGGCTTTCAACATCAGTGAGACTTAGTTTGATGTTGCAAGTTTTAAGCAGTTCAATTGTGCTTAATGTTTTATTGTTCTAATGTCATTGTCGCGATCTGCCTCTGTTAGGTTTTGAGGTTGAGTTCTATTGGTTCTTTCTGCACTGCCATGTTCTTCAGTTGCTGTTATTTCTGTTCATTTCAGGTAAGATAAACCATTCATTCTTGTGTTTAGATTCTTAGATTCCTGTGTTAGATTTTTTTGTTTCCTTGTGGATCTGTTCCTTCCGGTTTATGTTCTATAGGTTAGCTTCTGTGTTTACTTAGATGTTTTGTTATTTCCCTGAAGTCTTTGCTCATCTGTGTTAATTTACCTTCCTAGTTCTCCTGGCTGACAGCTCCATATCTGACATCCTCCCATACGTGGTCCATACACCAACATGTCAGTTATATGTCTGTTTATCTTTGCCTTTATGTGCAGCAC